TTCCCCGCCAAAAAAAGTATATAGCAAAAAGTATGTACACGTACATACTTACTTTGAGTACAACATAGAAAAGAAAGACATGTTTTCATGATGCGAAGTTTTCCGAGGAGATGTCGTTGTTTGAGCACACTGTGAAACGCTTACTGCATGTTCCCCCTGTGACACTGTTCTGAAGCGGCGCCTTTGAGCACACCGTGAAACGCTTACTGCATGTTCCCCCTGTGACACTTTCTGAAGCGGCGCCTCCATATGTACCCCCGACAGTCCTGCCGCTTCTGGGTACGGTTCTGCCCCGGTTCGATAACCGTGCTGAGTGACCGATTCCCATTCCAGCCTCCCCTCACGCCCTCCCTCATTCAATCATTGTTGCGTATGCGCTACAATGTGATGAACTCAACGTAGAGGTACGGTATTTCCATTGGAGGAGGACGAGTCCGAATGGAGTCGATGTCTTCGTATGTTCGACGTGAGCCAATGTCCATCCTTTCTATGGCTCTGCCCCTTTGGGCTCTCTGGGACACTTAGCCGCTGACGCCTGATCTGCTTTGATCCTTTGTTCTGTAGCCTTGCGGAGTCGTCGAGTCTCTTAATTCGGCGTTGCGCGTTAGAGAGTTGCGCGTCAGAGAGCAGACGAGTCAATTATCTCGATCAAGACACATTCTTCGATCAAGACACATTCTTCGAAGCTTGAACCTGAAACTATTCCTGATGTGAGTCAATTATCGCGATCAAGACACATTCTTCGAAGCCGCCGCCTGAAACTATTACTGATGTCAGGCCAGTCTCAATCGGCACATCTTCTTCAAAATGTCAACCTTGAAACATTGTGGATGTTGTACTCCTTGGTGAGTGCACGTCATCGACAATGTTCACCATCAAAATCACAAATGTGTTGAGCTGACGACAAATATGCCTTCGATCACACAATCGTGAAATTTTCGGAGCACGAATTTCACCCGCTGAAAATGCCCTGCGGCAATGAGTATAAAAGGTGTTACCCATCCACTGATCTCACGTCGTCCAATCATCTCCGTGTTATACTTGCATCTTTTGATTGATTGATCATTACAGGTTCTATCCACCCTTTATAAAACACCCCGTCATCTTTTGTTTCTCTGTTCCCTTTTCACCGCGCCGCCCTGTGTTTTAACGCCACCTTTACCTTGCTCCATTGAACTCAGTAAATTCTTAAGCATTCAAATATGTCGCGCACCGAAGGTCGACAGCTCTCGCATCCTTGCCGAGTTATTTACTGCGGTGAAGCCGGTGAAGAAGTCAGTACTCCGAGATGTATCTTAACTTGACCAGTCGGCCCTTACTGATTTTTCTGTGTTATGTTCGCAGGGGCCCGCTCCAAAGCCGGCCAATAAGGGTTTCCTTTCGCACCACGCTGCAATTCTGACTTCTGGAATGAACGAAGGCGATGAGTTTGCCAACCCATTATACTTAACATCATACGGTTCCCAAGCGGATTCTCTCTCCCCGGGTTCTTTGTATGCGATGACCTGCAAGATGATCGGCACAAACGACAAAAATCCTGATCATTTACACTTCGAAAATGCAAACCGCATCAACCTTGGGGTGGTTGAGGAGCTTGGTATCAATGTGACCAACAAGATGATGGACAAAGTCCAAATGGTCGCCTTAGGTATCATTGTTGGCAAGGATGTCATCAAGGATCCCGCTTATAAAGGCAAACCCACCGTGATCGCTACGGTCAAGCATACAGATTATGATCTGTTTGTGAGTTTGATTCATGGCATTTGTTTTGATTTGGTAGGACACTGCTGATGATGCTCTGTTCGTAGACACGGATGTCTGTTAGTTGGTGCACTAGGCACTATATTCCACCTGTCCGTAACATGGAGCGTGCCCAAAACTTATGCGTCATTGGCCGTGAGGCTCAGTTCACCGGCGTCATCAAGGACTATGACACCGAAAAACATATGTGGGCGTCCGAAGTGAGTGGCATCACTTCCTGCTTCTCAGGGAGTTGACTAACATGATTCTTTTCAAGGTCAACACAATCAGTGTTACCTCGGGGCACATGAGCGACGGGCCATTGACACCCACGAAGGTGATGGGCAGACCGACTGGCGGACGCATTCCGCTCTCTGTGTGAGTTTTCCTCCGCAATCATTGTGTCGTTTTGTGGTCATCCGGCTAACAATGCCTCTTCCCAGTCGCAGCAAAGCCGCCAAAGTGATCAATAAGGAGGAAGTCCGCTCCGATCCCTTTGACGACACTCCTCATCATGAGGTCGAGAACAACCCTTCGGAGCAAAGTGGCTCAGGCCCGAGTTCTTCAGCTGGATTACCGGTTGAGGCTGCTAAAGGTGTCGTTCCACCAAGTAAACGTCCCCGACGCGAATTGTGACATGACGCATCCAATGCCATCCATCATTGAAAATAAATCTGTGCCTTACCTCATCCAATCAACTCCTTTTTGTTATCTCACTAATTGGACTTATTGTCACCGTGTGTTCGTAAGATATGTGGCCTTCTGCTCTAAACCCATCATGACCTAGGCTTTCATGTTTTGCTACTCATATGTTTGTGCGGTTGAGATGGGAATATGTTATTTGTCATAGTTGCGTTCTCAATGCTCGGTTAGTGCGCCGCGCGGGCTGGGGGTCCAATGCGTTAGCACTACACTGCATTTCTCCTCCAACTGAGCGCTATGAAGGATATGTCAAGTGCGTCATTGGATGGATGGGAGACTTATGGGCAATGTTTTAAGGATTGAGCACACAAACTGTCACTGCGACAGTGACGATATAGAAGTGGATCTGATGAGGGAAGGTTCATGAAGTAATGTCTAATGTATACAGTTTCAATTGTGTTCGGCGTGCATGTGTGCATCCAAAGTGATATTCGAGATCACAATGTGCCTCATGATCATGAAGTCCGACGGCCGATCACTGCGCACGTTCACCGCGGTCTGGAATACCCTGACAAGATGACTTGCAGAGGCAATACATCAGTTCCGGCTAACCCTTGATGAAGCAAAAATAGTTTCTTACGATGGGGTTCGGGGGTGTCCACAAAACGTCGCACGTGAAAAGAGGCATGAGACTATTGATCCTGCGGTGTGGATATTGGTTTGCGGCCCCGTCGGATATTGCTTGGACGGGGGACACGCGGGCTGCACCTACCTGTGACCTTATAGACGTAATGGGCTGTATCTACCTTTCTATTTACAGTCTTCAACTCACCAAACATGCATCCGGTCACTGCTTGAAGAAGACAATATTATATCAAAAGTGAGGATGACGGAACTGTTCTCGGTCGTGCCGTTCCCGATGCACTGTTACTTGGCACACATATCTGCGTAATGGTGCTTCGGATGATGGTGGGGAGCTTACTCATACACTCTGTCGATTACGTTCTCGGGTGTGGCACTCGCCACATTTTGCCTTTTCACGTTCCGATGTGCCCGGCAAGTGAGGGTGACGTGAAATACCGGCATAGTTTGTGTCTCACAGCGTACACAGCAATGATCTTATCGGATGCCAAAGGAAAGCATTGAATACCGTGATGACAACAATCATGAACATGTGGAACTGTCCCTGTTGGATGTGACGAATGTTGCTGTGCGTGTCATTGATAAGAAAGGTTTCGTCCTAACCTCAAACACTGTTATCACCAGTGTGGATAGTCTGTGGCGCTGTCATGATGATTGAAATGCATTACCCCAATGTGGATAATCGGAGCTATTGGTAGCTTCGAGCCAAGAACAGCAACTACCCTATCGAATCTATCCGATTGAAACCGATGAACGATGTGGCGGTTTCACCATTGAAAGATACGTCACACATTCTTGGAAGATGACAAAACCAATCATCGATTCGAGGGCACTAAGTGTTAGCTGATCTCTTCAGACCATCAATGTGGACAATGGTGAATCTGTGACAGTCATGACGTGCTACTGTGGAAGACATTTAATCCATTCCTTTGTTTGGAGGAGATGTTAATCAATCCATTATTTCGTATCTATTTCTCCAAAGGATCATCTCGCCTTCGGCCTCGACATGCCCAAAATTGCGGTTAGAGATCGAAGTGAAAATAAAGAAAAAAGGTTATTGAGGCGATTCAAAAGTGAGATACCGCACCGCATTGGCGAAATAAACGACCACTGTGAACACTGTGGGGCTTTGCATTGGCTCAAGGAGAAAGTACGGGCGAGGGGTCCTGATAACCCTGCTCATTACTCAATGTGTTGCAGAGGTGGCCAGGTAGCGCTCCCCCAACATTACTTTGATTTTCCACCGGTACCGCGACTACTGTACGATCTTCTCACCAAGGACCATGCCAGTGAGTTGAGGGAAAACTGATGACGTGAAACATGCATCCGCGCTGACAATTTGATGACAGAAGCACGGAAGTTTCGAGCGCACATCAGATCGTATAACAATGCTCTGAGCTTCACTTCTTTAGGGACTCCAATGGACGCGTCCGTCATTGGTCATTGTTTTAAAATACAAGGTCAATTGGTCCACAAGCTTGGTACAATTCTACCACCTGCCGAGGGCGAGTACTCATTTGCACAAATATACATAATGGGACCGGAGATTGAAGATGAGGCACGGCACCGTGTGAAAATGTCTGGCGTCAAGATTGATCCAGTCATCATGAAACAACTTATTGACTTCCTTGATCAACATAATCCCTATGCGAAGCAATTTCGATCAGCTTACGATATCATGAAGCAACACAAAACCATTGCGATTCAATTAAAGTCTATTCAGCCTACACCTGAACAAGCCGCCGGCCACGACATTCGAACCTACGCTCGACCTTCTGCTACAGAGGTTGCCATGATTGTCGATGACGGCGTTGAAATTGGTAGAGGTGATAGAGACATCATTGTCCATTCAACGGATGAGATGTGGCATAGGGTGTCTGATTTGCATACTGGATATCTACCATTGCGGTACCCATTACTGTTTCCTTTTGGGCAACAAGGCTGGGACGAACATTACCGCGTTCCGCAAGAAGATGGTAGTAAGCACATTTCTTTTCAAAAGTTTCCATCGGTGTGTGGCTAATACTTTTTCGTGGATGATAGGCGAAGGTCCCACAGTATCGTCACTCGCCTGGTTTGCTTACTTGCTATTCGAAAGGAAGAATCAGTTTTCAAACATTCTCGCGTCAAAATTCCTCTTTCAAGAATTTTGTACCGACTTATATGCTTGCGTCGAACACAGTCGACTCAATTACTTCCGCACACACCAGGAAGAGCTACGATCAGAATTGTATTCTGGAGCAGTCGAAGCTTTGGGTCGTAATGATTTCGCGATTGGGCGGCGGGTTGTACTACCAGCATCGCATATCGGAGGACCTCGAGCCATGGTGCAATTGTACCACGACGCGATGGCATTGGTTCGACATTTCGGGCAGCCCAGTTTTTTCATCACTATGACAGCAAGTGATCATTGGCCTGAAATCCAAGAAAATTTGCGTTATGGCCAAACAGCCATGGATCGGCCGGATTTAATGACAAGGGTGTTTGACATGAAGCTAGACGAACTCATCAATGATATCACCAAGAAAGGCAGATTTGGTGATTGTATCTCACACATTTCGACAATCGAGTTTCAAAATCGTGGCCGGCCCCATTGTCATTTCATCCCAATTCTGACAAGAGAAGCAACACCTCGAACTCCTGATGCAGTTGACCTCATAGTCAGGGCTGAGATCCCCGACAAGGAAGAAGAACCGTTATTGTACGAGCTGGTCACGAAGTTTATGTTACACGGACCTTGCAAGAAAGGATCACCTTGCTGGAGAGATAACAACTGTAGATTCAATTTCCCCAAGGAATATGCGGAGGCCACTACTATGACGGATGATTCATATCCGACATATCAGCACAGGAATAATGGTGTAACGGTGATTAAAGATGGACATACATATACCAACCGTGATGTGGCACCGTACAACCCTTACTTGCTGATGAAATACAGATGCCACATCAACGTTGAAGTGGCGGTCAGTTTCCATGCTTTGAAGTATCTGTATAAATATATCACAAAGGGCCACGACCGGGCCTCTTTGTCAATGGTGGCGGAAAATGAAATTGAAACTTTTGTAAATGGCAGGAGCCTGACAGCAACCGAGGGTACGTGAATACTGTTTTGATCTGTTGTCTGAATGTTGCTGATTTATTGTTGTTTTTGACAGCCTGCTGGCGGCTATACCAGTTTTCGATGTCGACAAGATATCCTGCGGTGCAACGGTTGGATTTCCATATGCCACGAGAAAACCCAGTCTACTTTGTAACTAACGAAAGATTGAGACGCCAAATTGAGTCCGGCAGAGCTGCAAGGTCGATGTTAACGGAGTTTTTTAAGCTGTGCAGAGATAATAGCGGTACACAAACATCTCTACCCAATTGAAAAACCCATGGCAAAAACCCATGACCACCCGATTGGTTTTTGGGTTTTGTCCAACAGGTGTTTTCACTCGAGCAAAAATCAGTGACCCAAGGCTACCCATTCCAATTTTCGACTCAAAACTTCACTCTTATCTCATCCAAATAGCACCTCGATGGCTGAACCACCTAAAAAGACTCAAGGACAAACTCGAAAACCTGCTGCCTCTCAGTCTTCTCAAAAAGCTCAAAAACCTTCCGCTCGTAAACGTACTCAAGAATCTCAATCTATTCAAGCGTCTCAAAATCAGTCTGATGCACTCGGATCTCAAAGTGAAACTCAAAATGAAACTCAACCCGATGTGGTGATCAGATCACCTTTCAGCTCAGCATTTTATAGCTGAGCTTTGGTGTTAAACCACTCAATCTTTTCATGGTTATCATTTCTTTGTTTTACTCATCGGAACACGCTCGTCTCGCTACAACTGCCTCGAGGTGTAGTTGTGAATTCAATCAAATAAGGATTTTTTTTACTTTAATTCAAGACCAATTTTTTATATTACAATCATCTTGAATGAATCCGGGCAAAGGAAATTACATATATAAAAAAGGAAGTTTTTTTAGATGATCAAATTTAGAAATAAAGTTAATAAAAGAAGCAAAGAAGATAAATTAACAATTTTAAATCATAGTCGAGATGGGATACATGTGGAGGTAAAGAGAAAAGAAAAAGGAGTGGGGGGGTGAGAAGAAGGAGGCGAAAACAAAATTTAATATGAAATCGAATCTCGAGAGCTGGGGATTGATCGATCGGTACCTAGGAAAGAAGATCAAGTCAATAATAAAACTATTAAATGAAGGAGAGTCAGTACAAGATTAAAAGGAAGATAATCATCAGAGAAAGTGACTTACAGTTGAAGGTTAAAGAAATCGAAATTGAGATTGAGTATAGAAGAGTCATGAAGATCGAGTGAAAGAGGAAAGCTGAAGCTAATACACATTCGTTATTGATGAATTTGGGATGATGAGGGCTGGGAGCGAATCTAAAAAAGTTGTATAGATTAAGAGAAGGGTGAGAGGAAGGTGGAGAAAGAAGAGTTAGTTCATTAAAGAAAGTTAAAGATAAATAGGAAAAGAGAAGTGAAAGACTTACCTCGAATTTGAAGATGTGATCGAGATCGGAGGGAAAGGTTGAAGTGGAGGTGGAGACAAGTTGAGGGTATCAGCACGATCGGTTGGATAAGGGAAGCGATGAAAGAACCTAAATAAAAGATTGGGGTAAGTAAAAATGAGGTGATAAATGTGAGTTGGGTAATATAAGGATGAGCAAGAAAGAAAGAAAAGAGTACATACCAGTGAATCAAAACCTAAACGAAAATCGAACGGGAATCCGGTTGCGATCGGAGTGAAGTTGAGGAAAGTTGGGGAAGGAGGACTTGGCTGGTTCGAGGTTTTTTGCAGTACGATGAAGGTATAAAAAGGGGGCTCTTGAGCGTATGAAGAAGTGGGTGTGTGGAGGAAGAGTTGATTAGTTTTTTTTTGAGATTGTGATTGAGTAAAAGAAAGGTCTTGAAGAGTTTCTTTTTTCAATCTTGAGTGTGTTATTTGTGTGATTAAGATCAAATAATTTGTCTTGAAGAGTTTAGTTATTTTAAATAAAGCTATTGATATTGTTTGAGTGAGATTTGTTTGCGTTCTTGCTAAACTTGATGAGAGTGTAGTGTGTGATTTATTGATATTGAAGTCTTGATCGGATGCTGAGCTGGAGTGAAGTGGTGTGAAGACGTTGGTCTTATTTTTTTTTATTTTATTTTTTTTATTCTATTTGTCAGTACTGTCACTGGTTGTGAAAGCTCAAACAACTCGGGGCCAACCCTGAGCACTGGTTCGAATCCCATCCCTCTCAACAAATCCGTCAATTTTAAAAAATCCCTTCTGGAAATTCGACTTCGTCAATTATTCGAAACAATTATAAATTGTTAAATTTGGGTCTGAGTACCAATTTTTCTGGAAAATCCCCGCCGCCGACAAAACCATCTCCCCCCTCTCCAATTGTAACAGTACATTGCGGACTCAAAATCCAAAAGTAGTCAAAAATCGAAATTTGCATAACTCCGGCTATAGACGTTGTATAGGCGTGTACTGTACACCGCCAGGCTCCGCCAGACTTTGCGCATCCATCTACGGGATAAACAAGGTTTTGCGGGAAAAATTTGTGAAGATAGAAAGTTGTTAGATTGCTCTGGTTCTTTTCGAACTGCAACAAAAGGTCGAGGGCAGCTTCACCACACCCGTAGTTTCATCCACTCTCATGAGTGGTGATTCTTACCCTCTCCGGCTCAGCCTACGCTACACTGCGTAGGAGTTCTACAGCGTGTACAAGGTCTTGTTTGGATTTTGTCTGGAAGATCACGTTGTATGAGTCAATATTGTGACATTAGGGCAGTTCAAGTTGAGACATGCGAACAACCTGACGGAGGGCCCCGATCTGCTTTTTTAAAGTTGTTAAATCATTAAGATTTTGGATTGCGGTAACCTGAACGGTCTTAACATTTGGTTTTATGACCTCGTAAAATGAGGCACAACGCCTTTGACACCTTTTTTTCCAATCTGAGCGCGCTTTCTCAAGTGTTTTTTTTCTTTCGTTTTTTTTTTCTTTTTTGAGTTGATAACACACATGTGTACCCTTTCCCTGTTCAGATCAGATAACCTCCACCCTTTTGCCCTTGTTCCCCATTGAGATCATCACTATCAACCATTATTCCAAACATTACCATGCCTCGTGTTTCCGACAGGGTTTCTGCAATTTGTGGAATCACCCATCTCTGACTCTTTGCTCAAATGACCTCGGATATCTGCATTCCCGAAATAGCCTCCCATCAAGACAACCCTACCAAGGGCGAAATGATCTTCCAGAACAAACCAGTCTTGTCAAACTTGTACAATGATGTCTTTGATCAAGAACAAATTTTGGCCGACCTCCTCACTCTGGTAACATCGAGATGTTACCTCAACGATCGCATATGCAATAGTTGATGACAAGAAAGAGGAATCAAATACTGCACAATGAGAAAACGCTCTTGTTGAGAAGCAGAGTACCTTATATAATGAAAATGCAGTGCGTGCCAGATATAGATTGTATCAGCTTCAACCAGGTTATGCGCGTGACTGCGCCTGAAATCGATATTGAGACTGAAATCTATTTGAGATGTGATCGTTGAACCTATCAAAACCCAATGTCCACCAAAAAGGAAGTCGCAACACAAGCGTCCAAAGTCGGAATCGGCCTCTGTGCGTAAATCCACGTGATATCAAAAGGGCCAACCAAACCGATGTTGACGTCAGACGTTCTTTCCTAATGATACAATTTAAATCCAAAAAGGACTGCCAAATTGAGGCGGAAAGAGCTGATAACCGACGCTGAGAAACCTGGCTAGTGAAGCTGAGAGACCCAATGTTTAATACCTGTTTGATGTGTGAATCCTGAAACGATTTCCAAATCAATGTCCTGAAGCGTGAGGTGAGAAAGTTGAGGGAAGGCAAAAAGCATGTAACCCAAGATCATGCTACGTAGGTTGACCAAAAGTACCGGGGGCTCAGAGCTACTGGCCCAGGAGTAGCCAGTAAATCAGGGACAACCAGCAAAAAAAACACAACTTGAAAAAAACAAACGTTGCAAAAAGGCACAAACAAATAAAAAAAATACTGCTATGTTTTTTTTTATATCTTTTTTTTGCTGCAAGCAGGGAAGGGCTGTAAAATTTATAAGGCCAAATGCTGATTCTTAAAACCACGATCCACCTCTAGAGCCGGCTCGCGACCTTAAGATTATACGCAAAATTTTAAGGAACCAAACAAAACTCAAATTCCTAATTTGGGTTGTAAAACGCCTACTTGAACCGCCCTATTGTATCTAATGTGCAAATAACACCGCGGGAATCAATAGGTCCGAGACCCGATTGAAGAAAGTTGCGGTGACGGGGTTCACAACTTTCTTCAATCGCGGATCTTGTTTGCATTACGTTCGAATTACGTTCGCTGACCATCCTTGAGCAAACCCCCAAAAAAGAAATGAATCATGAACTTGACTCACCTCACCTCATGCCACTTTGATTCCTCACTCACCCGACTCTCCTACACACAATCTCAATGTCAACATCTTCAATACCTCAATTCCAACATCGAGTTTTGTGTGGATCTCTATCACAACTCAGTCGTATCTTCAACTAAAATTGAAATACTTTTAATCTTATCATTGTTGACTCTATTGTAGTGGATCATAGACATTAGATGAACGGAAAATAACCAGAGACAAAATCAATTTTGGTTATGTAGACTCGGAGTCAACAAAAGTTTCATCATCACAATTGAGCTCCTTGAGGCTCCTTGTTATTCAGTCCAAAGACAAATACAGGGATCAGGATGAAGTGTTTCAAACAAAACGGGAAAACTTGCTAAAATTCAAAGAGGAAGAGAGAGGAAGAGGGGGGTTAGCAAACGTAATGCAAACGTAATGCAAACAAGATCCGTGATCATAGAAAGTTGCAAACCCCGTCACCGCAACTTTCTTCAATCGGGTCTTGGACCTATTGATTCCCGCGGTGTAATAAGGGACAATTATTTTTCAAAATCACTCATTGGACGCCAAAATTGGCATGTCACAAAACATTCATGAGCTATGTTGTTTGAAGTTGAGTGTGTCACATCAAATCCAACTTCTTGATTGAATCACGCGAGCGGCTTCCTTGCAATGACATCCAAATTGTCTTGGATTTCTGGTGTGAGACCCAGGCATTCTGACGTCGCGTCCGATCATGATTGGATAGCTCAGACAATCCTTAATGCGGAGCAACAGCAGTCGTCTCATCGCAATGGTCAATTTCATTGGTGAGAGTGATCTTTTCAATACAAGACTTCACCACTGTTTGACCAGATTATCAAAACGTCACGTTCTTGAATCATGGACCGTGGACAGAGTACCATGGTAGAGTGATTGAGATTTTGAGGTGCATGCCCGCCATTTGCTGCCAATTTGATTGAGTTGCTGCCGGCACAATTGGTCAGGTTGTTCAAGATCAATTGTTTGCCTGTCCGCTTGGCAGCACTGACTTTACCAGTTGAGCAGACAACAATGATAACCTTTAGTCACATCAGGGATGCAGGAGTGAGTATGAGTTTACTCAGTAAAGTGAGTATTATTGAGTATACTGAGTATTTTTTGCCTATTTTTGGCCCTGTAACCCTGTACAAAGTGAGTCACATGAGTTTGGTGCCGCAAGCTGAAGAGACCTCAATAGAGTCAAATCAACGAGTTACAGAACAACAGAAAACAAAGCAAATCGAACAAATAAGTGATGATTGGGTGGACACAAGCCTACACGAGCTTGTTCAGATCTGTGGGACTTTGACTTCCCAGGGGTGTCCCTGTCATTTCATATGGATGAAACTCTTTAACAATACAACTGACAATATTTCAGCATATTGCTTGGCTGGGTATGAAACCCTAAGACACATGACATGGCCTTATGTGCACAAAGAGATATTGAACAAGGCCAGCAGCTCGCGTTATCAACATCTGATCCTAAAACAGGCAAGGTTTGGCTGAAAGCACTCTTTAGCAGCCAAGTTTCCACAGGGTTGGGTCTGAAACATTTGATATTAAGGGGGCTCAAGTCAAAATTTTTGTGGCCTTTTCTTAAAAAATTTGGGAAAGTTTTTTACGGTACCGTGCTGTAAAAACATTTCCCAATTTGTAAAAAAGGACCGTAAAAATTTCTCTTGGATCTCCTTCTGAGCAGTAAATTTGCGTAAATTTGCTGCTTAAAAGATTTGGGATGTCATATAACTTTTCCCAATTGCATAAAATTTACGCAAAATTTTATGCAATTGGGAAAAAAAAATTACGATAAAAGCAGTAAAATATTTTGACTTGAGCCCCCCTATTATGCTTCTTAGTCCAAAGCAGGAGATTGTACGTATAATCGATATGTATCTTATACATTGAAAGCAAGCTTGATTTTCAAACATATCAGAATCAAAAGTAGTACATCAAAGACCACGACTCATCTCAACAATCTGATACTACATTTTTGTCTCACCCAGCTGGTCCTTTTTTGACAAAGATCAAGTACAGAACAATTCTTAAAAGCCTCATGAATTTCTGCTTGCACAAGCATACCAACAGGAAGTAGGAAAAGTATATCATCTCTTCAGATCAATGATGTCATGAACCCCCGTACATGAGAGTATCATTGTAATATCTCGAATCCGGCTGACTACTAGAGGGGATCATCAGAAGGCCACCTTATGGTCGTTTTCATAGTGGCTTGTTCGCAATACTCTTCCAATCGATCCAATGGCTTCTTGAATTCTTCTAGTGGATGTTCAACATCAGCCAGTGTTAACCGCCAGTGAGGCGTTACGACCAGATTCTTGAGCTCAGGCCATTTGGCTTCAAGAATCAACCTATTTAAGGTGTTGCAATGATTTGATGTTCTGTAGGTCCACTTGAGACGGCCTAAAGATTTGCAGTCTTGAAAGGCGTCCAGTAAGAGAGGGTCCCGGGGTGAAAGCTCCAAGTCAGTCAAAAATGGAAGCGAGAAACGAGTTTCAGGACTCCAGCTAGAATCGAGTTCCAAGTTTTCTTGCCATCTGCCTTGATGATAAATTGGCATAAGGCCAAAGTCAAGCTTGAGCTTTGTCACGTAAGGTGCAATGTGTTGGATTATTAGGTGCGCATAACTTCGTGATAAATCACAATAGCGAATTGCAAGATCAGTGATTGTTTTTGGCCAATTGTAAAGGCACCATTCTGTATCTAAAGCTTTGTATCCCCATATATGCAACCGTGATAAACATTTGATTTTGGACAGATTGAATTCGAGAGAATCGTCACCATGCTGTTGTTGATCTACAGAATCTGGAAATCCAGCCAATGTAAGCGACTCGAACAAAGGTTGATGAGCCAGGATGTTTCGTGAGAATTCATTTGCGATCCTCATGCTGCATCCGCCGCGCAATTTTAGATGCCGGAGTCGTCTGAGATTTGATAACAATGGCACTAGCTCTAATAGAAAGGCTTCTGATCCAGCCCCGTACCCGGATTCTGAATCTACCTTGAAATCATATTCAATCACTAGCGCAGAAAGGTTGGGGCACCGATGTATCAAGCATCTCACACTCTCTGGAGAGAGAAATGCTCCAATTTTGGTAGGTTCTTTGTTGTCGTATTCAGGGATAAGATTATCATAAAAGGGATCATGTTTTGTAAATTCACCAGGAGGATTACAGCAATTTCCAGAAAGTTTGAGGGATAGTGATCGGACGTAACTCCCTTGTTTGAGGAGGATATCTTTGGTCCATAGATCAATTGGTGCTGGAAGAGATGTAGGAAACTTTAGTGTCTGAAATTTGGTTTGAGTGATCAAATGTGATTAGAAAGCATTCCTTCATGTATGAGTTGATAGATGACTTACTCTCCATAGACATGGTCGACAACGTTGGTGTATCTCACGCGAAGTAAGTGAAAAGTTTTGAATACTATTTAAGATTGGCGAGTTTCGGTGCAAATAAGTCTTGTATGGCTTCCGATCACCTGGACCAGATATCACCACCGTACTGTTTGCTCTTTGGTCGAAGATTGCTTTAGCTTCAAGCTTAGCCATGGAATCAAGTGTTTCGAGTATCTTGTCAAAAATTTCAATCGGTAGATTCATGAGGCCTAGGGGGCAGAGTGTATGCTCTGATTTCTTAATCTGAGTAGCATTGTCAAGCTTGATGGATGTACTTTCAATGCCCCGTGGATCGCAAGGTTCTAGTAATCTCTTCTCAATTGGGGATGAGTCGTGTGGGCTTTCTGATAGACCGAATTGAACGAAAATATCGAACATTGATTCCTTCGACCAAATAAACCCTTCCGACTCCAGTTTCTCGAAACGTTCTCGAAGGAAGTTGTGATGTTCAAGTAATGGCTTAGTCCTCTCGTGAAGTTCAGAGACAATCTCGCGCCAAAGTGGAAGCTGAGCCATGGAACTAGAGGTTGCCTTGTTGATTTTGTAAACTTTAGGGGCTAGTTGTCGTATCTTCAAGCCTTCATTTCAAGAGGCTCAACGTAGATCGGAAAGCTAGGAAACTTCGATGGTCTATAGATCGTCTTTCAAGGATAAATCCGGCTGAAACTTGAGTATCGAGAAGGTTCGTCAGACTATTACTTCCAGCTACGTGATAACGTGACCGGGAATACTGCACAGGAAGAAGTGTGAGGTGCTTTCAATGAGGGAGAATAAAAGCTGAGAATTGACGAGGAGAATGCACAATTCAGCCTTGATGGCAATGAGAAAGAGAGGCCATAATTGTGGACTCAAAAGATACACGCGGGCCAGGGCTGGAGAGTCGAGACCGATAAAAACCCGAGCGCAGAAGTCGGTACGCACAATCACTCACCAACTTTGATCAATTACAATATCTTGATGAATTTTGTTCAATTTTGGATGAAGTCAAAAAGAATTGAGTTTTGGTTCAACTTGACTAACATTTCAGGTCTAAAATCTCATTTTATTTTGTTTGGTCAAGTGACCATCAGTTTCAATGAGTTCAAATGAATACAGTCAATCCAGATTAGCTTGTCCAATCAAAAATTTCGAAACTTTTTTTAAAGTGATACAGGTGATTTTATAAGCATAAATATGCGTATATGAGATAACGAGTTTGATCCACCCTGACCAACCAGACCATTCCACTGTTTGAATGATCCAACCTGTCCTCACCGCCATTTCCTTATCCTCACATCCATTGGTCCAGCTTGATCACACTCGATCCATTCTCTTAGATCTGGACACTTGCTGTAAGTTTTGAACGTGTCCTCTTGGTTTTGAATTTAATCTCACAGTTTCTCTTTTGATCTTGTTTTGATCGTCTCAGCTTCGATCCAAACTTTTACACCTTCAATCCAACCTTCTCGTCTTCGATACCGGTCTCTTTGCTCTGATTTGCTTGTGTAACTCATTTTGTGTTGATATTCAGGTTGATTCAAGAGTACATGACACCCTCACAGAGATCCACCAATGCATTTAGACATGTACTGTTGTATCTCTCCTCCCGATCATGATGAACTGCAATATGTTTCCTTTACCGCCTGCTCTGAATTCATCTCTTGTACATAGTCGTTAAGGAGATATCTGAATGTAAGCGGAATTGAGCAATAGAATCTAAAAAGATAAACCCGTTATCGTAATTGCATCCTTCCTTGCTTTCAAACTTCACTATGCAGTTTATGTCTTTTGCCACTTGGTATGGAACTCTTTGAGCTTTGCCCACACAAGACTTGGCTTTCCAGCTGTTGGGGCACCTCTCATCTGTGAATGCCATCATAGCACATGATCTCCTTTCTACGTCCGATGGTATTGGTGCATCTGGAAAGTGAAGATACCACTGACAGAGTCTATATTTCAAATATTCTATTACAGAGGAAAGGAGGACTGAAAAAGTTGAAGCAGAAAAACATTGACAGGGTGGATTCAAAGACAAGGACAAAAAGTACAAATGCAAGGAACGAGTCAATCAAGAAACACAGAGCTTGAAGGTTGGATTCAAAGCTGACAAGTTGAATCTGATGCCCAAAGGAAGGATTCAACAACGATTCAAGGAGATTGTCTCAGAATTGAAGCCTAGATGTCAAAGTAAAGAGATCGATTGAAGATAAGAGGGTTAAATCGAGGTTTAGATCGAAGCTGAGTCGATTAAAACAAGATCAAAAGAGAAACTGTGAGATTAAATTCAAAACCAAGAGGACACATTCAAAACTTACAGCAAGTGTCCAGATCTAAGAGAATGGATCGAGTGTGATCAAGCTGGACCGATGGATGTGAGGATAAGGAAATGGCGGTGAGGACAGGTTGGATCATTCAAACAGTGGAATGGTCTGGTTGGTCAGGGTGGATCAAACTCGTTATCTCATATACGCATATTTATGCTTATAAAATCACCTGTATCACTTTAAAAAAAGTTTGAAATTTTTGATTGGACAAGCTAATCTGGATTGACTGTATGTCGCGCTGAGAGAGATTCAGAATGTCTATGGCCGTGCATGCCTTTTGGTCTTACAAGATAGTCATGTTCAATTAGGGCAGTTCAAGTTTGAACTTTTAAGACCAATTTTACGTTATAAGACATGATTGATGTCCTTACACTACACAAAAGATAATATTTTCTGGGCAGAAAATTAAATTATTGATACACAAAAATATTGAAAGGCCAGGAGAAGGGCAAAAAATAAATAAAAATATGCATCTTGTTCCCTGCGGTGAGAGCTTCACTCTCCATATTTTTCCATATTTTTACAGTCTGTATTGATAAGTGTACTAACAATAAACCTTCATAATCATCCAATTACAACCTGTAACAAGCACTGAAATTTGGCTCATTAGTGTTTAGAGAAACTTTTGATTTCTGAAAACACCTATAACTTTGTCAAATCTGCCTCAAAACACTCGATTTTAAGTGCATTAGAAAGCTGAACTCTTCCTCTCGAACTTTCATAAGATCAAGAACTATGTAGCTAGTATAACAATCATTCTATGCATCTGTATGTACAAATGTATAAAAAAGATGATATCTTTTTTAGAAGACCAGCATGCTGTGTGGTCCTATTATGAACTATTTGGAGGACAATTCCAGCTTACCAATGCACCCAAAATCGAGCGTTTTGGACCGGAATTGAAAAAAATATGAGTATTTTCAGAAATCAAAAGTTTCTCTAAACACTAATGAGCCAAATTTCAGTGCTTGTTACAGGTTGTAATTGGATGATTGTGAAGGTTGATTGTTAGTACACTTATCAATATGGATTGTAAAAATACGGAAAAACATGCGGAGTGAAGTTCTCAACGCAGGGAACAAGATGCATATTTTTATTCATTTTTTGCTCTCCTCCTGGCCTCTCAATATTTTTGTGTATCAATAATTTAATTTTCTGCCCAGAAAATATTATCTTTCTTGTAGTGTTAAAAAAAACTTATAATTTAAGGCCTCCGAGCCACCTCTCGAGGTGGCTCGCTGATTTATAAATTATAAGTTGTCTTATAATTTTATAAGTCTTCTGGCTCAAACGCAAAAAAACAGGTGAGCGCCGGTGGTAAGAGGACAGAGGTGCAAAAAAAAAGTGTACCTTGGTTTCACCGGTCAAAAAAAAAAAAAGTCGGTGTACCTTGATTTCACCAGCTGTCACACGCTTGGCCCTGATTTCACCCGCTCGATCACCTGCTTACTCTAACCCCGAGTAGACCCCTATCACAACTATCTCGTCCATCTCATCTCATCCCATCCTCAACCTCCGTTATCCTCAACCTCCGTTATCCTCAACCTTCAATCTCATTTCATTTGATTTCATCTCAACTTGTTCAAATCAAAATCATTCAACTCGAAATCATTCAACTAACTCGAAATCATTCAACTCATTTTATTCGATCTCAACTCGAAATCATTCAAATCGAAAACCTTCATCTCATTTTATTCGATTTCATCTCAACTTGTTCGATTTCATCTCATTTTATTCGATTTCATCTCAACTGGTTCAACTCGAAATCATTCAACTCATTTTATTTGATTTCATCTCATTTTATTCGATTTCAACTCGAAATCATTCAAATCCAAAACCTTCATCTCATTTTATTCGATTTCAACTCGAAAACCTTCAATCTCATTTCATTTGATTTCATCTCAACTTGTTCAAATCGAAAATATTCAAATCGAAATCATTCAATTAAAACTTGTTCACTTGAAGACCTTCGATTTCATCTCACTCATTCAAGAACACATTTGATTCAAGTCAATTCTTCACGATAGTCAATTGCATTCAACTCAGTCTAGTTCAAAGTCAATGACATTTTGAAATCAATTCAATCACTCAAATTCAATCCCACCATGGAAGCTCAAGTGAGTTTTTTGATTATCTATTTTGTTACAGTTCATTTCGGTTGAGAGTTCCACAAATACTGATACTGCATGACCCTGTTAGGTTACCAGTGCCCGCGGACCTCGTAGAACTAAGGCTCAGCTTGCACACGATCTGATTGCCAGTGGGTGCACGGGCAAGGGCAAGCCTACAACTGCCGATGTTCATCGTTCTCTCCTCGCAAGCAAATCTAGAGGACCAGTCCCAGCAATTAGTTCAGGATCAAGACCGGCTCGAAATTCTAAGAAAACTCATACGACTCCCCAAACCACCCAATCCAAGGTGCCGCCGCTGTAGAACTCCTACGCAGTGTGGCGTAGGCTGAGCCGGAGAAGGTAAGAATCACCGCCTAGAAGAACGGATGAAACTACGGTGCTGTGAAGCTGCCTTCAACCTTTAAAAAATTCTACTACAAAAAATATGTAGGACAATTCTTAACACTTCCGCCTTTACAAGTTCCCGTAAACCTAATTTACCCCGAAGAAGGATATTCACACTTTCTAAACCCTATTTATCCCGCCCACAACTGAGCCACACACACACAAAGTTTAATAAAAAATTAAAAAAACAAAATTTAAAATCCCAACCTGAACTGGATTTGAACCCAGGTTCAGTCCTTTTCCCCCTTGGCCCTGACTTGGCCCTGTACTCGAGTAGACAACTCTCCAAAAATAAAAAAATTAAAATTAAAATAAAACAACCCTCCTTCCACTCGACTTCAATTTCAACCACACTTCCTTAACACACAACAACTCAATTCTTTAATGTAAGTCTTTCTTTTCTTCCTTTTACTTGACTTTTAAACTAACAGCTAACTAATCTAAAAAAAACTTGCTCTTTCTTCTTGATCCTTTATGACTAGGATAATCGAGTTGAACACTAGCTGATCACTCGATTATTAACTACTAACTACACTATCGATCAGAAACACAAAAGAAACACTTCGATCGACTTGCTTCGATCTTCTACACCCATGCGACACGAGATCCCCCTCTTCTACACCAACAACCACCTCCCTTTTATACCTTTCCATCCTCAAAACTCCGACCGATTCTTCTCTTTCAATTCCGACCGATTCTCTTTTATTTTTACTTCGCTCCGACCGATTCTCTTTTCAACTCCTATCCTTATTCATTTCAATTTCGCTCTTTCCCTTCCATTGTTTGGTTTTAAATACCAGGTATGTTCTTTCTCTTATCTCCTTCCTTTTTCTCCACTTTCCTCCTTCTCATTCAGATCTCATTAACATCATCTTGGTTTTATTCATTTAGGATTCGATTTCTGGACTGTGTTTTAAATTGATCAATCAATCCAATTTCGATTTTGGATCTTCCAAGTAAGTTCAATTTCGATTTTCTTCTTTTGAATTACTTCCTTCCTCTCTGACATCATCTATTCTTTCTTTCTCCACTATCTCATCTTTACTTGTGTTTTAGATTTTGATTTTGACTCTTCATTATATGTGTAAGATCTTTTCTTCTATTCTGATGAACTACTGAAACTGACATCATTAACTGCTCTTATTGATCTTCTCAGGTTTGAATTTCGATTTTGATGCTTGATCTTCTTTTTTTTTTAATAGTAAGTCTTTCCTGTTCTTGTATGTATCTGATTGATAATGACATGATACTGAAATGGAACTCCCTGATCATTTTAACTTTGCACCCCAGAATCGAACCTGATCTTCAGTTTGTTGTTTCAATCTATATCTATATCAAATGATGGTGATGTGTACATTTCGATTTTGAGCTTCCTCTTCATTTCTTTTGAACTAGATACTGACTTGTGTTTTGAAGCATTTCTTCTTTTGTTTATTTTCCTTTGTTAATATGAAATAATGTTGTAATAGGGTAGTTAATACTTGATGAAATAAAATATTGAAGATAATCTTGACTCCAAAAGCAAATGAGCCATAGTGAGATATTAAGAAGTTTTGCTTTATCTTATATGTTAATATGTGTTTTGTTCTTAACATGGTGCAGTAAATGTGAATTGAAAAGTGAGTAATTTCCATGTGAAAAAAGATGAGATGACCCAAGTGTTGCATATCTTTGTTGGATTTGATTTCCACACCGCCTTCAGGAGCACCTAAGTCAACCCCTCATGTTAGCCCGAATTTCGACACGGTTGACTATGAGGAGATCATTGCGAACTTCAGTCGTCCAAGCTTCCGGAATGCCCTTTTTGGTGGGGGTAATAAAACTAAAGTCGCCGGACAGGGAGCAAAGGAACTGTGTAACCAACTAGCTAGTCAGATCAACACCGACTTCAACCGGCGCCATAATACCACTAATATCCGCCTCACTGGCCGTCAACTCCCGTTGCGATTGATCCGATACAAACGCAAATATATGGAAACTAATCGTAAAAGTTTGGCTACTGGTTTTGGGTTAACCGAGGCAGAAAGGGAGTGTGGACTTTTAGTTGAAGACAAATTAGAAATGGTTTGCCCGCTGTATTCAAAGATGCATGAGCTATTCAAGGACAAGGGGAATGTGAACCCTTTTGGTATCATGGACAGCGGTTTGATTGACGGTGAAGAAGGTGAAGGTGAAGGTGAAGAAGAAGGAGATGAAGAAGAAGGCGATGAAGGTGACGAAGGTGAAGAAGGTGATGAAGGTGAAGAAGAAGAAGGTGAAGGCGATGAAGGCGATGAAGGTGATGAAGGCGATGAAGGCGACGGCGACGGCGATGAAGACATCAAGCCTAAAATCAGTTTATTTGGCGCCACATCAATTGTCATCTCCGACTCCGAGCCAGAGGAAGGCCTCTCTACCCTCACAAAGCGCATTGATGGTAACAATGGTAGACATTCCACCAGAAAGGCCAGTCCCAGTGACATTTTGCCTCCCATCCTAACTCCTCCTGTCCATTTCCAAATGCCATCAACTTTCAAGAATCGAAACCCTCTACCGACTCAAAAGAGCAAAGCAAACCTGCCCACCAAACAATCCAAAGCCTCAACATCGACTAATGTTAGCCATCCCAAACGTAAACGTGCTACGCCGGCAATCCGTAAGAATCGTCGAGAGGCCAAACTCACCTCTGCTGAGCTTGCCTTGGACGACTCCGATTCTGAAAACAAACCAACAAGCAAAGCAAACCTGCCCAGCAAAGAGTCCGAAGCTTCAACATTGACTAATGTTAGTCATCCCAAACGTAAACGTGCTACGCCGGCAATCCGTAAGAATCGTCGAGAGGCCAAACTCACCTCTGCTGAGCTTGCCTTGGACGACTCCGATTCTGAAAACAAACCCAGCGGAAGCGGAAGCATGTCATATCGAGGAACTTTAGCCGGTCGCCCTTTGGATCCCCTGCCATCAATCGATCCTGCTAATGTCCGTTCAAAAGAGTACAAGAATCCAATTGCCAGTGCCCTCCAAAGTGGCAACGATAGCAAGTTTTCAATCCTGAAGGTCAACAGCGATTGGCGACACACTTTTGAGGAATCAAAGCGAGAGGAAGAACGTCAACTGAAGAAAGATGCCCTTGATATGGAAGCTTCCAAATTGACGTGGGCTAAAGAACAATACTATCATGAACACCTGGAAGCTAAGGAGAAGGCTGTCACTGAAAATAAAATAAATGAAGCACGTGAAAGAACTCAATTGGCCAAGGACTTAGCGCTCGGTGGCAAATCACCAGAAGAGGTGCGAGATTACCTTAATATGATCTTTCCTGACAAGAATCAATAAGGTATGATCTCTCTAATTGTTTTTGTCTCAGATTCAAAACTCTTTCCACTGACACACTTTTTTCTTATTTTTCTCATTCCAGTTTCACTCAATTTCTATTTCTTTCGATCCAATTCACTTTATCCGATTGAATTCAATTCTATATTTTGATCTGATCTTTTGTAAAAGCAACTCTCGCAATGCAATTGTTCAATTCAATTTCTTTCGACTCGATTCACTTTATTCATTTTATCATTTAATACAAGACCCAAATCAAATTCAATCAGTTCAATCAGTTCAATCAGTTCAATCAGTTCATCAGTATCAAAATGGCAAGTTCAAACAGCAGCAGTCTCAATTTTCGAATTATACTTTCCAATTTCATTTCACACCGCGCTCTCTCTCTCTCAAACAAATGGATTCAAACAAATGGATTCAAACACAAATACAAATCGCCTCACTCAACTCAACTATCACTCACTGTTTAGTCAGTCAATCAACTAGAATCAAATTAAATCGACTCAACTGGTCATAGCTCAACTCACAAACTGTCCTTCGCCTTCCTAAATACACACTCATCTCATAAACTGTCCGTCAAAACAAGTGTTACACACTCACACACATAACCTGTCCTGTCCGTTACCATCCCGAGATCTACGTCAAACTTCAAAATTAAATCGACTCAACTGGTCATACAAACTGTCCGTCGCCTTCCTAAAATGAGTGTGTTACACACTCATCTCATAAACTGTCCGTTGCCTTCCCGAGATCTACGTCAAACTTCCAACTTGATCTTTGATTTCAAAAGTTTCAAAACAACAATAGAACCGTTCTCTCTGCTGGAAGGAACTTCTTCTCTCTGCTGGAAGGAACTTCATAGAGTATTGTTTTTTGTGTTTCGTCTCTTTTTTGTCATCTAGTAAAATTCAAACCATCAAAAAATTCTCGTTTTTCCTCTTATTTGTGGCGTGGTGTTAATTAAATCTTAATTAAATCAATAAATACATAAAAAAATTCTCCTTATTTTGTTAGTGTCATTTAGTTAGTGCACTCTGTTGTAGAGTTAAAAGAAAACCTTTTTTTTAATGATTGAAATGTAATCATTTGTTTGACCCGAGAATCAATTGAGCATTGGCACCACTGCAAACATTATTCGGCTTCCCCAAGTGGGCAGGAAAAAATGATTGGGAGTATGATTTGTCATAAAATGATCTATCACTCCACACCTAAGCCAGAACACACACACTACATATGTGCAACAGGCTCAGTGAATAGGTGGTTATCATGTACATACAGTTCTGCTCAGTTATCTGCTCATCAGCGTAAGTTATTCATATGTAATACATGCTGTAACTTTTTTCAGATTGACAAAAGTATTCAAAAGATTGACTACATACACCCACCCAGTGTTTTGGTGTGATCTCATCAACTCAACTGCATGTAACACCCTTTCTGTTACTATGAAACAGCTTCAGTAATATTGCCTGAGCAGCTACAGAATTCTATGTAGTGAATTTTTGCAACAATTTTTTCAAGGTCAAAAAAGTTTCATGTGGTATAACATGTGATTTATTCATTCTGATGGGCAAAAAACTGAGCAGACCTGTATGTACATGATAGATAACTATCTATTTAGCTTGCTGCACATATGTAGTGTGGGTGTTATGTCTCAGGTGTGCAGTATTGGATCCTTTTATGACAAACTGTACTATTAATCATTTTCCTCTTCCAACTTGGGGAAGTTGAATGATGTTCACAGTGCACTAGTCCCAAAAAGAAACAGAAGTCTCGAAAAGAAACAATATGAAATTTTATCATCAAAAACTTCTACAATTGAGAAAACAACAAGTGAGGAACAAAGACGTTTTTGCATATTTCAAACAACAAATGAGAAAAAGAAACAAAAACCAAAGAGCAAGCTTAGATTGATACATCAACTACATCAACTATTTCAATCACAAATCGAAGAAAACAAAGGAAAACGAATCAAAACAATCAGAGAACAAATAAGAAACAAAGAAACAAACAAAGACCCACTTAGGTTGCTCCATCAACGAGAATAGAAACCTTTGGATAAATAGATTCAGTCGCTTACAATTGGGAGACCACCACTTTCCCAATTGTAAGCTACTGCATGATCCCGTACCCTCTCCCGCATGATCCTTCCACGCTCAACCCCACCCGTGTTTAAGTTGTTATCCATGGTCTCCAGATTAGACACTGCTGGTGTCCCTAATTGTGCATCCAAGACATCCAATGAAATATCATCCCAGGCGTTTCCGAAGTCTGCAAACATATTGTTGAGTATTACACAACATCGAATCCAGTCGAGAACATGTCCCATATCTTCCCTTTTGTTCAAAGCCAGGCGTAGACACTGTAGTGAACCCCAACGAAGCTTACATACCCCAATCGAGTGTTCGTTGCGAATCCGAGCTTTCGCAACACACCAATTGAAATCCCGATTTCGATCAACCTCGGCAGCCTGTCCTTTGTATGATGAGATGACGGTTTCTGTTGGGGTGTATGCCAAATCCGCAATGAGGTATTCACCTAAGATGTTTGAAAGCTGTGAGCTATAGAAAAAGAGTTTGAATATCGGTGAAAAAGACACACCTTTGTTGAAGTACTTATCAGGATTGATAGCAATATCAGTCTTGTTGAAAACGGTGCTATCGCAGCATGACCCTGGCCAGCCAGCGTATACATAGGTGATTCTACGATCACAATCACAAATCACTTGAACGTTGAGTGAGTAATTGTGCTTCCGATCAAAAAAAACCTCCCCATCCTTTCCAGGCCTTTGAAACAACGGGATAGTGGTTCCATCCACGAAGCCTACACATCCAGGAAACCCGTCTCTCTCAAGTACGTGAGAGATGGCTTGACGTCGTTCAGATTCAGGCCATTTCAGGTAAGTCTTTCCTCGGTCTAAGATTGCTTTGATAACTCTACGTGTACAGTTAATAACTGTTCCACGTCCAACCTTATAATTCCGGGCAAACCTTCCAACTGATGCACCGGTTCCGTTGCTTCCCAAACGCTCCAAGGTAATGGCCAATTGATGTTCGACAGATGGTGGTGGATTTCGGCTAGTTGAAAAGAAAACCGGGTGGGTTTCTATCATCGCAAGGAGCGCAGCAAACCCTTCGGGAGAAGTCCTCATAGCTTGTCGAAAATCAGTGCGTCAATCACGCAGCATGTCCTTCAAGTTGAAAGGACTGGCTAGCGGTGCTTGAAATCGTGGCTCTAGATATTGGGTAGTTGAAATAAAAGTAAGATATTCGGCCCAGTCGGCCTCTTGATCAAAGAGTAGATCATAGATTTCTGCCTCTTCCGGATCGTCAGGGAAAAATAAAGTGCCATCGCTGGGGAGATCATCGCCATCATCATCACTGTTGATACCAGGTAAAGAGAGACACATGTCGGCATTTGCAAATACACACATATCCGTGAGGTCTCTAAGAATATTTGCCCTCTGTGAAGCTCGAGGCATTTGGTGAAAGAGTCGTGTGAAGGGTTTGGTTGGTTGATTTGTAAGGAAGTCGAAGATGGACGAGGTAGTTTGGAAGTCGACTGCACTCAACAGCAGGTTCAGTTTGGGTCTGGTTCATCTTACCCGCTGTATATCTCAATCTCTCTCATCAAGCCATGGTGGCAAAAAAAACGGTAAGGGCGGTTGAATCTCTCTGTACCTTTTTTGGTAAGACGTTGGAACTTATAAATACAACATTTTTAGGGATTCGAGCAGGTATTTTAGACATGATTGCACCTTAAAAACCAGGATCTCTCGGTGAAATTCACCTGCTTGCAATCCCAAACTTGAACTGCCCTATTGATCAAACATAGAACAAGGAAAAGATGAGGTCAAAGCAGTAATATTTTGTAGATTTTTCTGATGCTCAAGGTCTTAGTCATTCAAGATTGGAAGAAATAGACTTTAAGGTGCCAAAAAATTGAAAATAGTGGTCAATATGTAGAGAAAACACGATGAAGAGGAAGTTGACAAAGGTTGATCCAGCCGGTGTTCATTGAATCATATGCTTGATGATACACAAGAAGGGAAATATATATGCCAGTAAAGGCAGGCAAGGTTGAAGCCCACAAGAACATGGTAAATTCACAATTAGCTAAAGTTGAATACTATCATTCGACTAGAAATAGGATTCACTCACAACATTCAAATTTCTATTGACCAAAAAAGTTAGGCCGGCGAATGAATCCTTCCATATTGGCTTGCTCAAAATGCTTTTCCAACACGGTTAATTGATCCTCTATCTCTTGTAGTCGAGGATCAAGAGCGGGTAGTCTTAACCGCCAGTGATGAGTTGCATACAAAATCTTGAGCTGAGGCCAAGTGTTATTAAACAGCATCATGTTCAGTGACCTGCAATGCTTTGAAGTCCTGTACGTCCATTCAAGACGACGTAGATATTTACAGTCTTGAAAGCTCTCTAGCAAGTGCGCGTTCCGGGTTGACAGCGACAATTCGGTCAAAAATGGAAGAGAGAATTTTTTTTCAGTATCCCAGCTAGGATCGATTTCCCAGCTGTCACCATCAAGCTTATAGGAAAATTTGAGATCAAGCTTTGTCAAGTGGGGGGCGATGTGATGAATTATCTGATGCGCCGAACTCAGTGATAAATCGCCGCATTCTAGGATCATAAGCTTAGTAATCGTTCTGGGCCAATTGTAAAGACACCAGTTTACATCTATATCTTCAATCTGCCATAAAGTTAACTTTGATAACGATTTTAGTTGAGATAGATTGAAGCCAAAAGAGCCATCGCCAGGTTTTTGTTGATCTTTAGATTCTGTAAATCCGTAACAATCAAAAGATTCAAGCAGTGGTAGACTAGCAACAAGTTTTGATGGGAATCCGTTCATGATTTTTATCGCGTCTCCACCTTCCAATGACAAGTGCCGAAGTCGTCTGAGACTTGATAATTGTTATGATGTGATAGTATGGATGTTGTGTGTTACAAGGTTATGACATCATAGTGTTATGCTAATACATGTTTCTCTCTTATAATATGTTTATAACCAAATTGTTGTTAGGTATATATATTATAGATTGGTTGTCATGATGGATTGGTTTCTTCTTCACCTTTCCTATTCATTCTAATCTTTCTATTCTAGGTAAGTTTATCACTACTATGAAATACTACCTTTCCTATTCATTCTAATCTTTCTATTCTAGTCCGTGATCCATCTTATCAGGTTATGAGCCCATCTCGTGAAGATTATAAGATAATCACACTTTGAATAGTCGGTTTCGAAGACTATCAAATCTCCGATACGTCTAGAAAACCGTTCTAGAAAACCTTGGAAAGGTCCGTCAACGATACAGACGATAAAGTTCTAATCGATCGACATAATACAAAGGGCTGAGATTGTCATAGAAGGGCTCCTCCTTCGCAAATTGACCCGGAGGTTTACTACAGTTCTTGGAGAGCATGACTTTTAAAGTTTGAACATGGGCACCTTGTCTGACGAGAATATCTTCGGTCCAAAGATCAATTGGTGCAGGAAGAGAAGAAGGAAACTCTAGTTTCTAAAATTTTGTATAATTGATCGACTGTGGTTAGCCCCCTTTCGTTCATTGACAAGTTGGCTTGAAGATTACTTACTCGCCATAGCCATGGACGACATAAGGAATATATCTGACGAGACGTCAGTGAAAAGCTTTGGGTACTATTCAAGATTGGGGAGTTTCGGTGCAAGTAGGTCATGTAATTCCCGTAAACTGGGCCGGTGATCATCACCCTACGTTCGAGCTTTTCTTTGTAAATTTTCCAGACTTCATCCACAGCTATGAAATCAAGCTGCTCGAGTATCTTGTAAAAAACTTCGATAGGGAGATCCGCGAGTCCCACAGGACGAGATTTATGTTTCGATTTCTCAATCTGAGTGATGTCTTTGACTTTGACGGAGGAAACTTCATGTCCTTGAGAATTGTTCAGAGGCGATAAGCGTCCATGTGAGATTTTTGATAGACCGAGCTCAGTAAAGATACCAAAGATCGATTCCTTTGACCAAATAAACCCTTCCGAATCGAGTTCATTGAAACACTGTCGAATAGAGTCGAGACGATCATCTGCTGGCTTAGTATTCTCGTGAAGGCTAGCAACGATATCACGCCAAATTCCAAGTTGAGCTGTGCGATCAGATGATGGCATCTTGATAAAGTTCTTCGAGGGGCTTGTCTCGTATCTTCAAGAGACTCAAGATAGAGAACCTGGCTGAGAAGCTTTGATGGAAAATGGATAGTCTATCGGAATCAGATTCTTCCAATACTTGACCGCTCAAGGGCTTGGAAGAAATCCGGAAGCCGAGGAGCTCTTGAGACTTGTCGACTACGCTTCTAAGATACCACCTGCCCAAAGTTTGTTATCGAGAAAGTTTGACTAAGATAATATCACGACTTCGAGTTACACGATAAAGGGATCCAGAATAATGTAGAGGAACACGTATGAGTCAACTTTGACGGACCTCAATAGAGGATGACAGATGATGATCCAGGAAAAGAATCCAAATTCAATGGCAATATCAACGGTAAAGCGGAAGAGATACCATGACGTCATCAGTGACCAAGTCCCAATAATCCTCCAGAACCTCCATCAAAAGTTAAGTTTGTCGATAAGACCTCTCCGGGGTCCTCCCTCGCGCCAAAGGTCCGAGGCTTGAGCGAGGCTGTCACACTCCCCACAGGCTCAGCCCACCACCAGATCACACAGGACGGGGTCTCATCATGATCTGACATGCTCCCTCTGAAACCCTGGAGAACTATTGACTATTGCAGCTATGTACCACCCTGACGGTGGATAACTTGCAATGGTGCTGTCAGAGAAGAATCTGTTGCATACGATGTTAAGATATCACAGAATGCTGAGATGCCAAGTTTGTATCTCTCTCATTCCGAGTTGTACAAAAGAATTTGTTATAACCATCTTGATGAACCTTTTCCAAAAAAATTGAAATCTTCTAAAGGATCATAAATAACCTCCCCAAAGCTTTCCAGAATCCAGCCCCATGCAGGGAAGAAGCTTGAACATGGGTTGTATTCACTGACAGTAGCTATAACTATTTAGAAAGAATCAAAGATCATGATCATTAAAAACAACCACAAAGATTAGATGAAATATTGTAGTACATATACAGAATAATAATCGTTTAAGAAAGAAAAGAAGAAAGAAACACCAATTCTTTGATATGTATCATGTCAGATCATGTCCAGCCTCAAACTCAAAGTTCACAACTCAACCCAAAACAGATCCTGACTTCAAATCCCATAATTCAAACCCATAAAGATTTCCCTTTCCCTTTCCATTTCCATCATCACTAATCTTCTCTCTCCATTCAAATTCATAATCATCACCAAATCCAATATACACACCTCTAACTAATCCATACTTGAAAAAAGTTTCACTAGATGGCATTGGTGAATCAGGTTTAGTTTTTTCAATCAATGTCCAACTTTCTTCAAATTCACTTTCACTTTCATCTTGATTTGGATTTGGATTTGGATTTTCTTCATTCCTTTCTTCAATCATTCTATAATTCATATTCTCAATCCAACCATTCTCATCACCCTCCAATTTGTTTTTTAACCAGTTACAACCAACTTCCAAAAAATCGCCAGTACCACAAGACATGATTCCCATCACACCAAATTCTTTATTCTTTAAAACCATTTTATCTTTTTGATTTTTAACTTTTCCAAATTGATTTAAATCAATCAAACTTTTAGAAAGCGTTAGATATTTAATACTATCGATCACCATAGAAGAAATCTTTAAAGTTTCTTCTAATTCGTCTTCTTTAATCCCTCGTTCAGTTGCAAGTGTATAAACTGTCTTTTTAGCAAACGTACTTGCAAGCCAACTCGTCAATCCCAAAACCTAAACTCAAAAAACCAAAAAATTCAATCCTTTCTTCAGTCATTCTGAATTTTCCTTTCCTCATCAGGCGGGGTTTTCTTACCTGAGGAGTAGCAGCAGAAACTATAAAACTATTAGTAGCCAAATGAGCCAAAACAGTCGAAGGTCCAACAATTGGTGCTAATCCTAAAACAGTCAATGGGATCGCAACTAATCCAATCGTAGCACCAGTAATGGTGATCAATCCAATGGTTTGTGCTGATTTGATAGTTGAAAATCGGTTATTGAATTCATCTTGTCTACATTCAAATGTAAACCTACTCACAAAGAAAGAAAGAAAAATCACGCATTAGTTTTTGGTTTTTTTGGCTTCCTTCTTGACAATGGAAGGAAAACTTACCATACACTTCCTACTTTAATTTCCCATGTTTCTTGTGGTTTTAAATTGTTTTGAAAATGAATTGGTACTAAATGTGAAAGTGATAAATTTAAATTTAAAGAAGTTCGATTATGAATTTTAATCTTTGGCATCTCTTCTGGTATTGTATCTGTGTGTGTGTTACACCTTGAAATTGGTTATCCTTCTTGATGGTAAAGCTTTCAATGATTTGTTGTTAATTTGATTTGTTTTGGTTCTCAGATTTCGTTATATCCTACTAGAAAGAACAAAAAAGGTTCTAGTTTAAATACCATGCGATCCTTCAGCTTCATCATAACTGTATACATACTTAGAACCCCGTTCAAACAAATCTCAAAATTCTTTGAGAAATTATCTTTTTCAAACATGACTTCAGATGTTTTTATTGCTGAGACTTTTTCATACGTTTATGATCGCAGTTGATAATGGATATAATTCCTCAGTCTTATTCAACATGCTCATTCTTGCAAATTGCAAAGTCATGTCGTCAGACTCAGACTCATAGACACTTGATCATATTTGCCTCATTGATCTCCTCTCATACTTCGTGTGGCCGTACTTTATGACATCATAATGAAACAAATTACGACTGTTGCTAAGATAATTCGATACATTTTCAAAATAAAAAAATATACAATGATGTTAAAGATATAATTGCTACAAATCTGATAAACCACTTAAACATTTATAAAACACTGATGAATGTCTATTGATAAAGAGTAACGCTTGGATCCTACTTTTCTCTTCCACCCAAGACCTCTCTTTAAAGATCAAAAGCATCAGACTTCCAATCATTCTCATCCACACCCTCCTTCCTACCCTCCTCAACAGCTTCCACAAACTCATCAACTTTCTGCAACTTGTTCTGAACAGCCACTCTAGCCTCTTCAACAACCGTACCCGCAATCTCTTTAACCCTTTTCAAGTCTCCACCTTTACGTCCTCCGATCCCTTTCCCTTTCAAAAGATTATCTCCTATCCCAATCGAAATCACGTGCGATTTATCTTCAGCTTCGATTTTCAAATTCGTTCCGTAAAGTTTTTTCTTTGGACCTTCACCTTCTTCACCCTCTTCTTGAGGTGAAGTAGAAGGTTTAGATGAACGAGATCGATCCCATCTGGTTTGAATTTGGTCAATTAGTTCTTCAAGTAATTGAAGTTGATGTGTGATATAACTTTCAACTGTTTCTGATAATTTGGATTGTAGGTATAATGCTAAACCAGGTTTAAGGAACCAATTCAGTACTGGATGAGTAGAATCATGAGGATACAAACTTAATCCCTTTCATATCCAACCATAAAAAAAACCCATCAATATGATGAGAAATTCCTCATATCCGAATGAGACTGAAGAGAAGCTTACTTGAACATCAAAATGAGTGGTTTTAACCTTAAAAAGTCTTGCGTCTTTCTTATCTCTATTTTCGTTCTCATTCTCTCCTATTTCGATTTCCATCACCAAACTGATCCCATCCTCATTTCCCATCCCCACAAAAACATCCAGTAAACCTTCATCTTCAAATACACTAGTAGTCAACCTACTCAACCAACTTTTCACAGGATCGATTTTCTTTTGGAAATAAAATCCTACATCTTTGGTGTATAATCTTAATCCTCTTATAACTAAAGTTTGGGTTGAAGTGATTGATGAAGTATGGATGGATGATGAGGTGGTTGTAAGGGGTGAAGTATGCTTAAAATTTAGGACGTTTTTGTTGGTTAGACGAATTTGGTCTGGCATGAAACTTGAGGTTGATCTTAAGGTTAATGGCTTTTTGTAAAATGAAAGTAATATGCAATCACCATCATGAGCTTAGATATGAAAGAGAAGGGAATTCACTGAAGGTAAAGACTTACGTCAATAGCAAACTCGAATTCTCGAGATACAAACTCGATCCTTGGCAATGGGATTTCCTAAAGAAACATTGTACATCAGAACATGCTGATAAGGTACACATAGTATGCAAATAAGTTTACTCAACTTGAATCATAGCCAAAATTTTGGGCAAAAGATAAACCCAAAGCTCCTTCCAAATCCTAGACTTGGAAACTTTCCTCTTAACCCCTCCCACTGATTTTTCTAAAACATCAAACTGAAACTGACCAATCAAATCAGCCAAACTTTTAATTAATTTAATCGAAAGTTCATCATTGATGATTTCTTCTTTCATTTGACTGATAAGTTTGATAAGTTTTTGGATGGGAGTTTGAAACTTTTCGGGTTTAATATGTTGCCAGAATTTGGTTAAGATGGATTCTAATTTTTTATAAAATGTTGAGGTGTAAACTAATTCTGAATTTTCTAATGATTCTGAAATCAATTTATGAAACTGTCAAACCCACCAAACCAAAAGATCAGTTCTCATGAAATTCCCAGCAAAACAAAAATCAAGAATAAGAGTGTAGGGAGATACTGACCTCATCACTAAGTTTTTTTAATTCTTTATCATTTTTTAAAATTTCTAAAACTTCTTTCAAACTTTCACCAAACTCATTCCATTTCTCTTTTCCAGTAAATTGACAAACCAAATCGAATCCGATTTCAAAAACCTCACTAACTTCCTTATGACCATCAATTTCATCACTCAAATAATCCGCATACTCCCCCAAAACCTCACCCAAACGACTCAAACTATTCAAAACGTTTATTTTTAAAGTATGATTGATTCGAATTAAGATGGAAACCAAAGATTTCGATATTTCATCAATCAAGTCTTGAAGGTTTTTTGATTTTTGGTTTGGAATGATGATTTGGATAAGTAAATCGATTGTATCGTTTATTAAGTTTCGGAAATCAGTTGATGAGAATAACAAGTGTAAGAAATCTAGAATCGATTGAGATACTTCTTGAGGTGTTGATAATCCTATTGTAAGATCGATTATCAGTGTTTTGTACAGAACGGTAAAGAGAGAAGAAAGTGAATTTACGTTTACTAGTTGAAGGTGGTTCGATGATCGGTTCAAGATCGAGGTTTGAAGTAGCATGAAGTAATCGTTGAAACTGATCCTGAGCTACATGTTCATAAAGAAAACACGATTAAATCATGATGATACGATATCCAACGAAGCAGTTTACCATTTTTTGAATTCCCAAATTGACGGAAACACTCAAGAAAAGCTTTTAATGAATCGACGATTTCACTTGTCGAATCGATAAAGATGGGAGACTCAAGTAAAGAGTTTAGGATGAGATCTAATTGAGATTGGGTTGGTAATTTGCCTATACTCAAGGCTGAGATGAATTTACCAAAGTGATTGAGATTCAAAGACATCATGGATGGGTACTAGGTAGGTATTTAGTGCTTGGATGGATGATAGCTTCAAATGGATGGTGCTACTACTAGCTAGTAAATGGATTGACCAGTAATAGTATCAGTCTGACTCTTCAATCCTCTCATCTTCCTAGATGGATTACAATTTTCAGACTATCTTGACAAATTCAATTTCCAAATTCAATTTCAAATTATAAAGCTCGTGACTGGCTGTTCCAAATCTTCAAGCTGAGCAAACTTGCACAAAGAAGGTAAGCTAAATTCATTCAGAGGTAGCCTGAATGGTCATGAGTGAGCTCTAGTCTCATCATGTTCACGACTTCATGCCACATTGCGATGCGCACACCTCAAATTGTTGCACGATGTCCAAGTCTTCAAAGTGACCCAAAACCAACCAGCTCGATTATAAATTGCCATGACATTGATGGTTGAGAGAAGCCTTGGTAATCAAAGTCACTAACCTAGTCCTATGTAGCTAGTCAGAGTCAGACCTTCAAGTTGCGTGTTTGTTTTCAATCTTAAGAATATATCTCTTCATTCTGGCTTTCCCTGTAAATATGTCCATCTCACGATCACAATCTTCCATGATCCTTCGTCACTTGTCACCTCAGACTACATTAGTTTCGTCTGTTCAACGCCGCCAGCGGTATACATTTGTTTACTTATTTATTTCTAACTGATTTGTATCAATCATCCTTGGTATTATTACAATCTCATCATAGTTCTGTGCCTCTCCCTTGTATTCCACATTTCATCGCCTAGCGCGGACGACAAACTTACTTGAGCCAATCAAAGGAGGAAAGTAAAAGATGATTAGTCCTACACTCAATCAACCTAATGCCTTCATTTCGCCTTCCTCAAAGAATAATGACAACTCACGTCCTCCTTTTCAATTCAATCCTACTGACTTTTCTTCCACCTCCGGAACAAAAACGCAACCCAATGGGGTAATTCTTCATCCCTCAATTTACAAAAACCTTCCCAGACCATCACTGACATTTGAAAAAGTCGCATATATTTGTAGCACCCTTGCTTGTGGTCTATCTGTTATCTTACATCCTGTTTGTTATTTCACCTTTGTATTCGTAGAATCGTGACTAATCTGTCCACTTTGCTCAGACAGTTGGGTTTCCTGGGACGCGGAGTGAGCATTCGTTACCGGTGTAAGGCTGCCTGGTTTTTCAAGAAGGATCAACGTATGAGATATTCAATATTGCATCAAACTTTACAGATACTCACTTATATGCTATAACATGTCGTTCTTTTCTTCCAACTCAGGAGGCTTGATTTTACCTAACACTTGCTTTTTGATTTCACTCTTCAATACTTTCTTTGTCATCACCGAGTTCACTGATACCATTTTTCTGGTGATAAGCTCATTTGGACATGCGGTAAGCAAATTTGCTTACTCCAATGGTTTATCAGCCTGAGCAATGTTCATTTACTAATTAAGACATGCTCAATTAGCTCTACAATGAAAGATACCGCATCTCTGGTTTTGTATGGTTCACTTTATGGTTATCTGGATGGTACGTTCATACTTCTCAAATTCTCTTAAAATCTATACTCATGTTCATATTATTTCAGGATGCTTTTGTGGGGCATTGCTGCATGTTCTATGGTGATTGCTTACGGGGAGGAAGACTTTTCCACCCGTTTTTTTCCACCCGTTTTGTGGTGTAAAAAAAGGCAGGTGGAAAATTGCATAAGGTGGGGGGTCTTATGGAATTTTCCACTTTTTTTCATTTTTTCTCGCAAGTGGAAAACAAAAGGAGGAAAACCTAGGGTGGAAATTTGCATGCTGAGCCCAGCAATATCTAATTTTCCACCTCATTTCTTGCCACCTAAAAAGCGCGTGCAAAAGTCCGTGTGTAAAACTACATCCAAGGTACCTGAGATCGACTTTTCCACCCATATATTTGCACTGAGGTAGGGATTTGCACCCTTGCTTTACACCCAAAGCGAATAGCTTGGTGTAAAAATGGGCTTTCGTGGTCAATACTCCATTTGAAAGGACGGGTTGCTTTCAACTCGTCCTTTTATGCTTTTTCAAAAGCACAAGGTGCTGTTCCTCAAACGAATATAAATACTCCCAGACTTTCGAAGCAGATCAATTCCCATCTGAGCATCGCAACATACAATCAACGGGCCATTTCACTTGATCATATTCAATCGCCTTTTGTTGGAAGGCAGTGTGCCAAATCAATAAATCAATTGATCCTTTTCAAATCACATCATACCAAAAGACCAAATCAATAAACCTCATTTCACTCAATCGATCATACTCAATCGCCTTTTGTTGGAAGGCAGTGTGCCAAATCAATAAATCGATTGATCTTTCTCAAATCACATCATACCAAAAGACCAAATCAATAAACCTCATTTCTCGTGATTTTATTCAATTGCCTTTTGTTGGAAGGCAGTGTGCCAAATCAATAAACCAGTTGATCATCATCATACCTGGAGAACAACCATACAAAATATAGAGTCTCCACCCTCATTGCTAGATATTTTACGTATCCATTCCAAAGGTATAATCCAAAACCACCAAACAGTTTCCATCACTATATTTGATCGATAAATGGACTGAGGCAGATTGATATAGATATTATGGAGGAGATGGATAGTTGAAACATGGCTTGATGGAGAGGGACAGGACGGATTGGGAATAGAAATATGGCAGCGAAAATTTTTAACAATCACCCTGTTACCAATTTTCTTTTCCTTACAATCAGATATCTTCCGAATCAAATAGCTTTTTCTTGTTTGTCTCACTCTCTCGACTATCCTTTAGAAGACCTCAACTTCAACTTTCAAAAAAGGCTCATCTCGATCTCTCTCAAAAATGTCCTCATCCAACAAGTTTACGCAAGATAGTCCAAACACCAAGGCAGGCATTCAAGCATCCCAGGCCTTAATCAACTCAAAAAACCTTGACGAGATAGTGGATATTCCACTAGATTGCTTTATCGGGGAGGATTCGAAACTTGACTCGCAAGGTTACCCACTGTATCCCAATGGAAACACTGTCTGGATCAAGCACCCAGATGTTGAAGCTCCCCTCAATTTCGGAAAAGTTGGTTTTAGTTACACATCAAGAGTCTCATGGTCAAAGAATAAACGTATCAAGTCAACCAAGTTCAAGTGCCTCGGAGTACTGATGTGCAGTAATGATTTATGTGATTATTGTGGGCCACCCCCAACTGGAAAGGGGAAGATCCCGGAGCTCATGGCACAGTGAATACCCCTTCACTCTATCATACAATTTGGATCCTCATGCTGATAAACTGTTCCAGACACCCTACCTGCCTTGCACCACGCTGCAGCAAAAAGCTAGCTCACATAGATTGTGAAGGCACACACACCCAAGTTGACGTGGATATGGTCACAGGCTGGTCAAAACTTACTCATTCAGGCATCCATGGACACCCTTGGCCAGATTCAAAGAAGCCTGATCTGTTGTCAAAAGCAAAACTTGCTCAAGTGATTGTGAATAACCCGGATACAGCTCCTTTTCTACTCCGGGTATGTGTTTTCTTTGCGATCAAATTTGCAGCGACTATATTGAGATGTGATTGACTTGATGTGTGATTATGGATGCACAGGTTGGTCGATCAAACGCAGGGCAGGCTCCTATCAAGAGTGTAAACCAAATACATCCATCTCTGGGTCATAAAGACCGTCTGTCTTATCTTCGGCGTGACATATTGGTCAAGGCGGGCCTGATGCCCGCAAAAGCTAGTGATGGAGGCGGAGACAAGCTACTTCTAGATATGTTTCACTGGAATCAGTAAGCCACCTTGATCAGCTTCTACCTGTTTCTTCCGCTTGTCTGAGCATTACCTTCTCTGGTGTTTCAATTTTATTAATCCAGCCAGGGGTTGAAGATAATCTCATCATCATTTATGGACAACGAGGAGCACTTCACCTTCCAGACCCAGTGGATGGCTGAACGGCTGATGGATCGTGACGAAAAGAATGACGTATATCGAGGTGGACTTTTATCGGATGTTACATACAAGTTTTTTGAAAATGGTTATCTCCTTACGACATCTATGTACTGTGAAGATTTAATGAGATGGATTCCAGTTCAACTTACTTGGTTGCGAGGTCTCAAAGTCAGCCATTATAAATGTCATTTTGTCACTCTTCTGAAACAATTCTTTAAGGCCTCCATGACAAAGCATGAATGCGAGATCCTTTCTTGCCAAGTTGTAGACTTCTCGATGTCCCAAAAGGAGGGATTTGTACAAGCTTATATGGAGGTTTTTGGTGAAAGTGACCGTGCCCGGGTCATGCGATTGCTGAAAGGTTGTCAGGAGCACTTTTGTCAGCAGGTCACCCGAGTCAAGCGCAACCATAAAATCATTCCACCACACTTAGAGGTTATTATGAGCTTTTTCACTGAAATTCATAAGGGGGTGATGTTTGCTTATTTATGTATTTCTCATTGTGGAAATATCAACAGTCTGACTTCGCCGCACTTGCAATGGGTTTGCTACAAGAAAAGGAAGACGGGGGAAAAACTCACGAAGAAAAGCTAGAATACATTCGTCGAAAGTTTCCTAAAGTAAAGCGATGGTTAGACTGGTGGCAAATGTCAGATGTTCAAGCAATGGTATTTCCAAGTCGTCGGCCCCTCACGGAAGACTTGCCCGATGCAGACCATGGATTACCTGACAAGACAAACGCACAAGAGTCAATGCATCGAATATATTACATGTTGTGGTGAAATATAATTTTGTCTCTAGAATCAATCTGATTTGTATATAGCTGACTCATAGTTACATCCACCTGTGGGTTCTACCAGTGACGGTAAGACATCCTTGCAAGTTGGGATGGTTCAGCTCTTTGCATTAGTTCGCTGCCATGAGCATGATCATCAGCAGATTCTCCGTGGTATCCCGGTCGAATACGGATCTCAGAGCAAGACCTACACCTACATTGCTCAGTCGCTTGGTCAGAAGAAGCCTGCAAAGCGGAAACATGAGAAGACTGACGGAAGAGCTCCAGATACTACTGAGGCTTTGATTGGCAAGGGTGCAAAGCTTGGGCGGCCTAAAGGAAGTCTCAATGTTGACCGCAATCCGGTGACTACCTACCAGAGTTATTCAGCCTCAGATGTAGCAACTTCTAGAAATCGATGTTGGATGGCTTCAGTGTTAGAATCAATGTATTGCTTGTTCAGCCCTCATTGGATTCAAGGATCTCGTGGACGGGAAACCAACATCTTTACGATTATCACCTATCATTTTGACTCATGTGCAACCTACGAGCTCAATCAGTCCGGTGGGATCAAATCCATACTCACTAAAGCACAGAATAAGATTGCTCGTGCTCTAGATAAGAAATATCAAGGTTCATTTTGGCCTGGATGTTTTGCCTCTGCTGACTATTTCATCGAAGTCATTCTTGATAAATCAAAAAATAAAGCTGTAATCCTCAAGACCCTCTTCAATTTCACCAACACTTTACAATATCATTGTGCACATTTCCCAGAGAAGCATCACTCTGAAGATACCCGCACTGAGAACACTATCAAAATCACTCGTAATGCATTTGATGGTGCCGAAATCGATCATCACAACATTTCAGCTCTCCTTGAACAGTGGACAACAACCGGAATCACTATCAAATGTGGTAGAGTCTGTACTACATGCAAAGAACACCAAAAAGCACATTATGAGGAAGAATCAACATCGACTCCTACCACACCATCATCAGAATCTTCAACTGTGGAAGTGGTAAAACAAATACCAAATTCGTCCTTTAATCCTCCAGATTTAATCAAGCACTCGACACTCAAACTCGAATCCAAGCCGCTTCACCTTTACTTTCATCTTGAAGTCACATCAATACTAGACTTGGATGAACGTGCTAGGTTTATGAGCAAGATGGATTGGCCGGCTACTTTGACACTTAATGGACATAGATACTTATTAATGTCTCGTGGCTACTGGAATGCAGCTCACTTCTGGACAAAGGTCGTACGGAATCATGATGGATTACCTGCAGTTTGGCTTTTTGATGATAGCAAAAATGCAGGCTTTGCACGCCTAATAGATCGTAAAATCTCAAATATTGGCGGGCCGTCTCCAAACACCAGTTGGCTTTTCTACTCGCGCGAATCCACCATAGAAGAGGATTCTTCCCTGCGTAAATCAGTCGAGCTTATCAAGCGTAGTAATCCAAACTATCCTGGATTCATTACCTCTCAAGGTGTAGCTGAATTACTTGCACCTCATCGACCTCAGATACTTGAATCAACTAAGGAAGATTTATGTGCCTCAGATGGAAACACAGATGAACTTTTCTTGGAAACTCGAACTGGTGTGCAATCATTTTTTCTATGTGATCCCTTCCACAAGCTCTGATCTATAAAATGTGATTACAGTAAACAACCATGCAAATAATGTTAAGGTAGATAAAAAGGTCAAGGTCAATCAAAAGGTTTCAGTTTTAGAAGCTGAAGTTGATCCTTCAACGGCGGAAATTGATGGGACAGCACCATCCAAGAGGCGTAAGGTCAACAAAAGGGCAGTTTTGACAGATTCAAAAGATGTTCTTGCAGCAGGTGACACTTCAACGTTGAAACCAAAATCTCCAAAAGGTCAGTAATTACATATTTACCCTCACTTAAGGCACAGCTCACATGTTGCATGTTGTTTGTGCAAAAGCAGTAAACAAAAAAACTAAAGGTTGGAAAGGGTGGGCTATTGTTGAGGTTGAGAATAAAGCTCTTGACAACACTGATGTAGGAGTATTCAATTTCCATGTTACAACTACACATGTAACCAGGCGTGACACACTTAGGAAGAGATGTCACAGAGGACACGTATTAGTATCTAGATCACAATGCTTGTACTTTCCTCTTTCTCCTCATCTGACAATCTACATAGAGGAACCAGGATACCACGTCTTCACACTCCGTCCCCAGATCCCCGTCCTGATCATAACATTCCAAGAGTCAATGGAAGAAGGTAGTGTGCGGAAGTCAAAGCGTAAGAGATGAGGAGCAAGACCTTTGTCGCTCCGCTAAATCACCTATTTTCCCGAGCGCAGCGATTTGGCGCTATCAACAAATGTCAAATCGCTCCGCTATAATGTTTGAAGCGCTATGGGTTCTTAAAGCGGTGTGGCGTTGAAAACCGCTCCGCACCGCTATGGTCGTTTCTCTCAGCGGATAGCGCTCCCAAGCGTGTTGAAGCAGGGGTATTTTTGGGATCAAGTATTGACTCCAGTTGTGTTATGTCATTGGGTGCAGAGTGGGGATTTTTGAAGGAACAAGAAAAAAGTGAAAAAAACGAAAACAACTTTTTTGGTGTATATTTTGTAATTTTTGGAGGTATATAAACGCGCACAAGCTTTTCTTTGAGCTATCCTTTGATTTAAAGAAGAAGACACACAATTTGTTTTGAGTGTTTTTAATTGTTGGGTTAAGAGTGGAGACACAAAAGGGAAAATATAAAAGATAACAACTTGATTATTTTTTAGCTTTGGTGCTCGAAGCCTCATAAGCTTTAAGGTAGGCTGCAGCTTCAGCAAATTTACCAGAGAGAGGAATTTTAGACTTCAACCACTCGCGTGCACTGACAAGCCTTGAGATCATCCTCGCCGTTAAGGAAGCCCGCCCAGGGACCGCGATATCCGCTGCCGAAGAGAAGGTCCTCTCGCAAGGGCAAGAGGTACCTGATAAGCCAAGGTAATTACGAGCAATGGACGCGAGGACTGGGAAATCATTCTCATGCTCCTATAGTGTGGGTAAAAACAATGTTAGAGTGGCAATACTTGGAGATGAATGAGAGAGTCGAAAGGTAACACACCCTCAACCAATCCAACTCGGATTGACCAGTAAGCAACAGATGTGCACCTTCCATATAATCAAATCGTTCCTCCCGGCGTTTATCAGCAGGTGACTGGGTGGTCACTTGTGTGGTAAACACATCAAATTGCGAACAGATGGGGTGAGGTGAGATAGAAGTGGATGAAGTTTGAGAGGAATCGATATAATCTGAGTTTGGTGTAATAGGGTCTTCGGGCCATTGAGCTAAAGCTTCATCAAAGACGAGTTGAAAAATCTTCTTGGCTCGAACAGCCTCTTTGGGGTAGTTGAGATCAAAGAATCGGATCCGGAACCGAGGATTGAGAATGGTTGATATGACAATGGCATCGGAGGCGACAGCTTCTTCTTGATACCCTTCGAGCTTCTTCCGCATTAACACAAGCATGGCCTCCAGATCCGGGTCCTTACATGCATCGATAAGATGATCAAGCTCAAGAACCATTCGAGAGTATTCGGCGAGTAGGATACAACCCGTCGGTGTGTCGCTCTCCATTCGCTTGGTAGCGTACAAGAACACCTAAACGGAGATTGTTGTCAATAAAAAAAGAAACAAATAAAAGATGGGAATGTCAAAAAAACATACCTGAAGGATCTTAACGAGTTCCTTGATCAAATCCCATTCATCAGCACTTATGTGCAGTCCCTGATAATAACGAGCTTTTCGGTCACTGAGGAGGATAGCATCCACAACCTACAGTCGGAATTGAGAGATATAAGCAATAAGATTGACAAGTGATATTAATTGGAATAACCGAAATTACTTACATCACGTGCGTCGCTGAGACGTTTGAGGTAGTCGGCGTCGATATTCCAACGCACACCCCACCCAGATATAGGGTTGCAACCCTTATAGTCCATTTGCTTTGCCTTGGCAATGAACTCTTGTCGTCTAGCAGAGCTTCTCGTACACAAGCCATTGAACTTTTTGGCCTAAATGACAACATCATTCAGTGATGGTAGACCGAGCAGAGGGGGAAAGTGAAAACAAACGTAAGGGACTTACTTTACGAACCGCATGAGCAACTTCAGAAATAGGTCCAACCTCTCCATCTTCACTATCTGAATTGATGTAGTTGTTGATGGGTGAAGCATTCGATTCTTCGTCCGGATTGGAATTGTCTTGCTCATCTTCTGAAGACTGAAAGTTGATGTTTTCATCACCGTCGTTCAAAGTCATAGTCGGGATAGCCAAAGTGACTCCGGGTAAAGTGGTAGGCTTTACATGACCAGCTCTCATACCTAACGATTTGAGGCCTGCTTTGACTACCAGGCCGATCTTGTGAGTATAACATTTAATTTGATTGACAGATGCATCCCAGTAGACTGGATCCTCCGCGTCCGAAAACATTGTTGATAACTCGTTGGCCATGGTGGCATTGGAACTGGCTGAGTCGGTTGTCTGGGCTAACATGTAAGAGTAGGAATCATAAATATTAGCTTGGATGGAATGAAATAAACAAAAAAAACAAGATGACTGATCTTTTTGTGAAGACCATTTGCGATCAGGAATTGCCCAACAGGCTGAGCAAGGAGGCGTCCAGCATGGTGCCAAGTTACCAAGTTGAGGGTGAGGTGGAGGGTCTGGAACTTCCAATTTTCATTGATATAGGTCGCCGATACACCGATGAACGCTCTACGGCGACCCTTGGTGGTCCATACGTCGTAAATAAGACAAAACTTACCCTTATTAGACTAAATGAAAGGAAGCTTGTAAGATCATCAGTATACAGATCAATATTAACCCAAAATATACAAAGAAGTGACATACTTGAAGCTTTCTGATGACAGTATCAGACAGCTCCTTGTAGATAGACTTGGCTGTCTCGGAGGCCCAGGTGATACCTCGGATGCTAGCGGAACGATTTGATAGCTTAAAGGCCGCGCGCAGAGGAGTATCCATGAAACGAGAGAAAGGAAGGGTGTGACGTAAGATC